CACAATCAGAATGGTAACGACCTAATTTGAAACTACCACCAAAACAGATTAAATTTACATTCAGGTTTTTGGCAACTATGTGATTTTTTATTGCTCATATTTAGCTTATGATTAACAGGTCTTTTTCACGAATACTGCTATCAATTTTTCATTTACTTTTCAGTGAAGACATTTGCATTTGTCACTATCACATTTCATCCCTTTATTTTTTTCTCTATCTTGTTAAATAGAAAGTTTCTAAATTTTCTTACCAATTACATTCTCAGTTTGACTACATTTATAATAGCATAAATTACAGATTGTGATGTGGGGATACATGGCATTTCCATCTTAAGACCTTAAGAAATGCCTTGCATCTGATTTGCATAAATAACATTTCCAACAGGTTTTTTTTAGATATTACTAAATGTTTTGCTTATCTTCTTTTGGGACTTGATATTCCAGCTGTCAGTTGATCTTAATGTTATGAAATGAAAAGTATGCCATTTGCAATTAACTTGGCATAAAATAATTCATTTGCATTTAATTGTAATGGTTCAAGAATGTTCGGAAAAATGTTCGGCCCTCCAGCACGTTCACTTCATCCAATCTGGCCCTCTTTGAAAAAAGTTTGGACACCCCTGTCTTAGGCTATTGGTAGGTGGTGGTATAGATGACTTTTATAAAAATAATAGCATAATTCTCTATGATTTTTTTAACTGATCAACAAGTGGAAATTATATGGTTTTTTTACAATTAACCAAAATTTCTGAAAGTTTTATTATGAAAATTTTCAATGAAGAAGCGAGTGAAATTTCAGCTGGAAAAAATGAAGTTTTCTGAAACCAGCCTGTTTTTTTAATTACAGTATAATAAAATAATAGTATTATAGTATTATAGAGAACAGAACTCATGATTTTTAAAGAAAAAAACCTAGTTTTTTAAAAAGTAAAAATCAAATTACACTTTCGTTGGAACTGTGTCCTGTTTTAACAAAAAAAACTGGATTTCTGTTTGACACTCATGTACTGTTTCTGAGTGATAACAAGTCAGTTGTATTTAACTGAAGCAGATTAAAGTATGTAGGACTTATCTCTATGACACAGAAAAAGTAGATTAAGTTGAGGCTCAACTCTGAATAATATTACTTTCATTACTAACTCTGATATTCTTCTGTATGGAGGAAAGGCACCTTTTGTGACCTGCTTACATCAATTCAAGAGAAAGTCTCACCTTATTTGTCCCAGGTATATACTTCTGTCCATGTTTTATGATTCTTCTTGGACCACCTGCTTTTTTTTTTTTACTGTTGCCTCACCTCATCCAGGAAATTGCTGACAGAGTGGAGGAATGGATGGAATATTGGAGAGGAAAAGAATCGATAATTATTTGTGGATTGATGTCTTTTACTTACTGTTCATGCTGCTGGCCATTTAGCCCAATTTTCCTGACACATATGAGGAATTTAATAAAAATATTCTCAATCTTTTAAAGGATGATGGGTACCACTTAGGCAAATTGAGTAAATTTAAAAAGTTCCAGAGAATCTTTTATATGCCTGCTTGTAAAGGCTGTCCAGAAAATAAATAGAAACTGTTCTTATTCATTCACTCCACATGTAAATTGACAGGAAAGAGGGTACTAAATAAAAAAGAAAAAGTTAATTTATAGATAAAAATAGCAAAGAGAGAAAAGGAGAAACAAACTTCTGAAAAGATGAAAAAGATATTCAAAGTTTAGAAAAATGTGGTAATTACAGTTATACAATTTCACCGTTAAAAGCAAATGATTGCATTTTCTTGAATTATGTCTCTTGGTTTTTTTATGCTTGCCTTAGCAGTAGCTCAAAAGCCAGATACTTTTTCATATATATTTTTACTGTTCCTTTCCTTTCTCCTTTTTCATTTAGAATTGGCAATGTTTGGAACAGTAGTGATTGGAATTGGAATTGCTGGATCTATACGAATCAGAGATTTGCTGAATCCTTTGTCTTCCAGTCCTGCTGAGCATCTTAAATTATTGGGATTTGTTTCTAGGTGAGAGGGGCCTCTTTATTTAAGTTAACTAGATGCATTGTAGTCAGACAAATGTATGTCTTGAATTGACTATGGAGTCCCATGGTTTTTAGAACTCTGTAGCTTTATTCTCATTGCCTAGTTGAAATATTAACATCCATTTCATAATCAGAATGTAATGGTAGAGCTGAATGAGTTAAATGGCAAAACATAGAAATAGTTGTTAAGTAATATGATTCATTTAATGCAAAGTAATGCCTGGATTCTTAAACTCTTGCACTGTCTTCTATATTTATATCACCATTGAGAACATTTGTGCTAGAAGTCCCAAATCTTGTTTTTCCATACTAATATTTGTAATGTATCTTTCATTGAATGACAATTGTATTTTTCAGTTATTATTGCTAATATACTCCAAATATTGAAGACTAATAGCATGCAAACAATTTCAAATTCACAACCTATTTTAAATTTGTAAAAATTGCTCTGGCTTTCAGATAGGCTGTTTGAACGGTTCTATACTTTTTCAATGTTGTAACATCCTTTTATAAGATCAACATTTTCAAAAATGTTGACATAATCAATTTCATATCCAGAGCAATGTTTTTTCAAACTTGAAGCAACTGTTTTGAATTCAAGTTGCCACTGTTTTGCTATAGTAACCAAGCTGGCTTTCAATTTTAATACTAAACAATAGCTATACTATATTAGTACAAGAGAGTGTTTTGCTCAGGTTTATTTGGGAAGTCCTCCCAGAAATAATTCCATAACCTGAGAAGTTTATTGTTAGAAACCTTATTCCTTGTTAATATTTTAACCTCATACAACATATGGATCACTCAGAACAGGATCTTGAAACTGAGGACAGTAGGTTAAAGAAGAGAGGCATCAATTAATCATATTATCAGAATTAACAAACACATTGAAACTATACTTGAAAGACAATTTCAGTTAGGACTTCCTAGATCTAACCATTAAGATGTTAATACTTCTTCTCCTGGTGCTGTTTCATAATCTGGGAATTCTCATGGAAGTCTTTCTCAGAGTTCCTTTCTTTTTCTGCTAAAACTAGAAGATCTCTAGATGATGTTTATCAGGTCAAGCAAATTAGTCTGCAAGAAGCTCTAGACAACCCAGAGGTCCATGCTGCCATCATCAGTACAGATAACCAAAACCATATTGAGAGTGTAAGGTATTGCCTTTTGAATTCTTGATATCAAAATGCCATTAGAATGTTCATTAATTAATTACCACTCTAAACAGCAAGATAGCCAAGGGGGAGATCAAAATTTTAAAAAATGACACAAATAATATCATAACCAAGCCAAAATTTTAGAAGGCAGCAAACTATTATTTATTTGCAAAAACGTTTTACAATGTTCTAGAGAATCCGGACGTTCTATAGCTTTCCTATAGTTACAGTCTATTAATACAATTGATAGTATCCATTAAAAGATTTAAAATAGACTTAAAATGAAAAATACTTGGGTGGGGTTGTTGTATTATTTGTGTATAGATGTGTGTGTGCGCGTGCATGTTTTTTTTAACCTTATTTTAATTATCGGCAAGATATACAGATTTTTAATCTAGTGGAAAACAGAATAGAAGCCACTAACATTTTCTGCATTATCAAACTGGTGATAATTTAAGTTGATAACTAGGCATCCATCAGTTACATTTTAGAACCAAATTCTGAAAAAATATTAAGCTTTACATTCAGATGCAAATAAAATATCAAAATATTTAAATTGTACACTTTCCCAGCTTTCAAAATTATGATAGTGAGAAAAGCAGCAGAATAAATATGCATGCATCTTATTGGGAACTGCACATTATTTACATGTGTATAACAAATAAATATTGGTCCATGCTGTCTAGTATCTACAGTTATGGCTTTAAATGTGTTTAAAGGCCAAATTGGGCTTTAGATATGATAATTTTCCAAGACTGCTGATAATAATTGGGGGATATCTATACACTGCTTTCATCTTCCTAAGGGAAGTATAAAATATATATTTTTTCTTTTCTATAAGAAAGTTCCTAGAGGCTGGCAAGCATGTCCTTGTTGAGTACCCTTTGGCATTGTCTGCAAAGGTAGCTCATGAACTTTGGGAGTTGGCAGAGCTGAAAGGTAATATATAATACAAATCCACATCTGTTGTTTAAATGTTGATACTCAAATTATTTTTTTTAATCTCCTCTTCCCTCTCCCCCCCCAAAGTCAGAATTGTTTAAGATAGAACTTTAAATAGTAGGTAGCATCCTAAGTACTGTTATCCATTTGGAACCTAAGCATCTATAACCTTAATGGATTCAGTTCTATTCATATACTAAATAGGGATATTGTATTACTGAGTGAATCTGAAGATTCTAATCAAATTTTTCATTTTGGAATTTAGGACCTCGTAATGTAGATTGTAAGAAAGCCAATTTTGTGTAGTGGTTAAGACACGAGGTTAGAAACTGAGAGACCATGAACTGTAGTCCTGCCTTAGGAACAAAGCCAGCTTGGTGATCTTGGACCAATCAGTTTTTCACAACTCTAGGAAGAAAACAATGGCAAACCACATCTGAAAAATGTTGCCTAGAAAACTGCAGGGACTTGTTGACGCAGTCTCTGAGAACTGGGCATGACTGAATGGAAGAAAAGGAAATTGAGTATACATTCTAGGACAATACAATCATAAATCTGTTTGGTTCTTTATCAATAGTTGAATAAAATGAGAATATGAGAAATGTTGCTTTTCTTTCTCTCGATATACAGTAGCATCTTGATGCAGGACAACAGAATATATAGCTAGTTCCTGCCTCTTTCCTAAAAGTTACTAGTCCCTTATCTAAAGAGTTATGGCTTTCACAACCAGGAGACAAGAAATTACAAACATACAATTTCTTTCATAACTTCCCAATACAATCAATGTAGTGACAACTCTTTTGGGGGGATGTTCTGCTATTCTTAAATATTAATTGCTTTGTGCCCATAACAAGTAACCTGTCCAAATATAAATTGGCTCAATGTCAGGCAAGATCCTCCATGTGGAACATATTGAACTACTAACAGAGGAATACAAACAACTGAAGAAAGAGGTATCAGGAAAGGAGCTTGTGAAGGGAACATTACATTTCACAGGTTAGTCCTTTGACTTCATATGTCTTTGATGAGTCACCCTGATTTGAAAAATATTTGTATATCTAGGTTTGTGTCATGAATGGATTGAGTCATTTCATATTAAAGGTAGAGAAAGGGGTAGTTGGAAGATATTTCGAATAGTATTTATTGTGAACATAAAATTGCAGATCAGCCCTTTGAGGACAACTATACTCTTTGTTTGCTATGAAAAATAAATATTTAGAAGAACAACCAAAAGTATGATATTCTGTACCCCTCAATTATAGCTTAAAGTACTACAGTTCAATCTGCCACTTATATATGTAAGTCACACCTCATACTTTCTAGTCATTTATAATATAAATTCTGTCTGAAGATATTTTAAAATCTTCTCTTTTCCAGCTTTTGATTTAAGTTTTCTTTATTATTCCTAAAGGGGGTCCATTGGATGAAAGATATTCAGGATTTCCATCTTTTAGTGGCATTGCTCGCCTCACCTGGTTGGTGGATCTTTTTGGAGATCTCACTGTCACTTCTGCCACAAGAGAACAACAAAAAGAAAAAAACTACTTCAGAATGACAGTACATTTTCAGACAGCAAACAAAAGGTTGGTTTTGTTAAGCACTAGAAATGTTAATTAATCAAAATAATTTTATTCTGGCTAATAATGATACATCATTAGATAAACAATATTTTTATCTTGGCAGAAACCTTACGATGTATAGAATTTCATTCATTCATCCATCCATCCATCCATCCCTCCATCCATCCATCCACTCATTTGACTTTATTAGTAGCCCAATTCTAATACACTCTGAAATTAAGACCAGATCATTTTGCTAGTCATTAGTAAATAATTTTTGAATAAAGTTGATCTTTCATTATTGTAATTATTATTGTATTTTTTCCACTAGTCAGATTACTAGTTCTTGATGTTTTCCCTGGCAGCATATGATCTGTTTCTTAAACTTTCCACTTTTGTTCTACTTGATTTATTCCATGCTCTTTCATTTGTGCTTCAGGACTTCTAGTTCTTGACTTAATGCTATGATTAGTATTGACTGCTAAGAAATAGAAGCAGTGCATAGTATTCTACCATAGTTTCACTGACTTCATCATAAAATGTTCATAAACCCAGGGCCAAATTGCCACTTTAGCAGTAAGTTTAACTGAACCCGAGGAGCAGCATCTGTAGCTGAGTTCCTGAAAGGGTACCCTTAACGTCAATCATTATTGATCTGCAAAAAAAAAAAAAAAAAAAAAAAAAAAAAAAAAAAAAAAAAAAAAAAAAAAAAAAAAAAAAAAAAAAAAAAAAAAAAAAAAAAAAACAGAAAAAAAATAAATATAAAAATATAGTAAAGAAAAAAAACACAACTTTATAAAGAAATTATTTCTCCCTTTATCACAAGTATAAACAATTTAATAACTTATCACCTTCTCTTAAAATACAACAAATGATTACTTCTTCCCATGTCCCATCTTTTTTCTATAAACAAATCTTTAAAACCTTGTTGTTAAGTTCTGATCAGCAAAGTTCTGTCAAGAGTTATCAGAGATAAATATCTATTTTAGTCTTGATCAGATAAACAAATGTTACACTGCTTGCTTTTACTTTTAATAATCTTAATCGTTAGTTCCTTCAAATAATGCCTTAGAATTTAATTTCTTTTCATTTTTCTTTGTCCATCTCACAAAAGTCTTCAAATCTTTAACAAGTTGTTTTTTGTAACTCTAATATAGGAAAATAATCCAGACCAAACCAAATTCTTAATTTGTTATTTGTATATCCTTGTAATTTTTAAGATGTTTAAGAAAAAAAACCTTGTGTACAAAAAACCTCCCAAATCAACTACAACGACATCTAACATTAAACATAAAATATTAAACATAAAAAAAATTCTACCCCAGCTGAATGCTGAAAGATGCATAAAAATGAATATGTTCTCCTATAATTAATTGTAAAATCTTATTTCAAATCTATCTAAACCCTTAGTTCAGCCTTGCAATGAGATAGGTTGCAAATAAAATAATAAAATAAAATAAAATAAAATAAAATAAAATAAAATAAAATAAAATAAAATAAAATAATAAAATAAAATAATAAAATAAAATAAAATAAAATAAAATAATAAAATAAAATAAAATAATAAAATAAAATAATAAAATAAAATAAAATAATAAAATAAAATAGTCCATATGTAATTATTCAAAGTTTTAATTATCCTTTTGTTGTTTATTTAAGTCGTTAAACTTGTATTTAAAACATCTTTCACTAAGGATTCAAGAAAACTCACCTAGTATTTTCAAATTTGTTAATCAAATGTTTCCTAATAGCTGCAAAAAAGTTAACCAATTTTTAAAAGGATCAGAAAAGGAAGTATGGAAGTTGAATGTCCTTTTGAAGGCTCTAAATGGCTATTCCTGCAACTCCCAGAGCTCTGAATCTGCTGAAAACCATTATCTTTCAGTCTTCTCACAAGGTGCAACATCCTGGAGCACATGTCGATGATCTCAAGTCCTCTCCTTGTCCAGAGAAGAACTGCTCTACTTGCTGACTGTTCATTCCATCATAGTCTTCAGTTCACTATTTTTTTCCTGGAAGTCACACCAAGAATGTGTCTTGAGGGGATGAACTACTGCCTTTTTCAAAACTGGCTGAACTACACGCTCCCATAAGGTGGCATTTATCACAGTTAGATCCAACCATATGCTTAGTTTGACTCTTGGAAGGGGAAGAGAATAGATAGAAAGGCGAGACAGAGAAAAATATTTTTAAGTCCTCAGAAGAAAAGGTTTGAGAAAGAAATGCAAAGCAAATCTGCCTTCATTATATTAGAAATCTGAGTAAGGCTCTGACAGGCTTCCAAAATTTTATTAATGCCATAACCATATTATAATACATTCCAAAATTCTAGTTTTGACTGTCATTAAAGCCTGACAGCTATTATGATCACACTGGATATCTCACGACCCCCTGCTGGCTTTCTTCTTTTCCAGTTTCCAGGCAATATTGTCTGGTGACTGAGAATGCTGTGTCTAAGGAAAGCAACTATATTATGGTTCAAAATGATTCCCTGATTCATTCAATTTGATAGAACAATGGTTGGGATCACACAAGTTCCTGAACAAAAAAATATAGAATCCTATTTCAGCCTGCTCTAGTGAGCTGTGCAAACCACTCATGTCAGAGAAAGAATTAGCAGACTGACACCTAATATCTGATCTTCAACATTCTATACATCTATTCTGAGGTCACTCCCATTGAGCTCATTGTGGCTAACCTTTTGAAGCAGGATTTAATTTGAAGTTCATTTTTATAGATATAATTTTATTAGTTTGTTAAAATATAAAATAGAGAGAAAAATGAAAATAATTGGAAAGTAGGGCAGGGTAAGGGAAAAGAAAAAGTGTAGGGTAAAAGTGAAGTTCATTATAAAAAACCAAGAGCTGTTAGATCTAGACTTGAAAACCTAGCACTGGAACTCTGCCAGTTGTGACTTGACTTAATTCTGTAATAATTCTGCAAACCTAAAGAGTAAAAAAAAAGACAGTATCGATTTTGAAGGTTTTGGGCTTCTAGTTCAAACAGAAAACTCAAATAATAAAAATTAGCTATTTAGTCACTTTCCATGAAACATAAGCAATACTAGCATGTGGTGCTAAGAGACGGGCAAAAGTATCCAACACTGAAAAAATGATGAATTGCTTATTAACATATACACAAAGCAGTGTTTTGAATATTGCAGGATCTGTGGCCAGCTTATCTAGGACAACAATATCTATGTTGTCTTTGTAGAGGCTATAGAGATCCATATAAATAGTTTCCAAATGTCATATTACCCTCTTAGCTTTTGGCTGACATATATATATATAGGGCTCCAAATCTATTCTATTCCATGGCAGTTTCCTACTGTCACTATTTCAGTGATATCATCTATTTGCAGTTACTGAATATTTGGTAGCTCTTATTTATGGATGTGTAACTATGACAGAAGCCTAGATTTCAACATCTAACATGAGTGACTGATGAACATAAAAGTATTCTTTTGGTGAGGGCACTGCAAAATGCACAAAAACAGAAAGACTAAATCAGCATGGAGAATGACTGATGAGAATGACAGAATTAGCAGAGATGACAAAATTGTCTTGTTTAATTAGAGAAAAGACAATAACTATATTTATTACTGACTATTAAAAATCAGTTAGTAATATTTATTTATATATTATCCTTTATTTCCTTTCCTTTCCTTTCTTCCTTGTCTGTTTCCATTTTTCTTCACTTACTTTCCTTTCCTTATTTTTTCTCTTTCAAAATTTGTATGTTTTTTATTATTTTAAAACATTTATTTAATAAAAATTATATATATAAGAAAATGTCTTTGGAGAAGGGTAAACTTTGCAGTGTGTTTTAAAGGAAGCATCACATCTAAATTAATATTCTCACAAACATAAGGAATCAGAAGTGGCCCATGAAATACCCATGAAATTTCATCATAGAGTATTTTGCTGTACTTTGTGATAAACCTGCTATGATGAGATGCCCCTTTTTCAAAATGTATGTTATCATTGTGCATTCTTTTCTCTATTTCCTAATAAAATATTCACAATTTATAGTCTTTCAAACCAGTTAACAAAAATAGATTGCAATCCCAACATCTCTTGATTCCAATATAGAAAAAAATAGGAATGTGACTGTTTTGTTGTATTTTTAAAGCTGCACTAGTAGATTCTAGATCATTTCTTTTTATCTGCTTTCTGGCCCCTGGGTTCCAGCTATAGCTCAGGCTAACTAATCACTGTGACATGACTTTATGATTTTGTTTCAACTTGACCCACAGTGACCAGTTCATGACTTCCACTGACAAAGGCATAACTGTACTAATTTGGCAATATCTTTGTTTAAAAACCAGTAATTCATAGAACATCTTCAGTATACATTACTTGGCAAATGCATTATGTACTCCTATCCATCCAAGGCTATAGAGTCTGAGTCTTTTTTCTCCCCTGCTATTGAAAGCACACAAGCAAAGCGCACAACTAAACATAAAGGCAATGAACCATAGCAGTTCTGTATATTCAAATAGTACAAATGACAAACCAAGCAATGAATCTCTCCCGCTAGATGGCAATTTTTTACATAAAGTTCAAAATCTTGGAGGAATTAATGTTAACAATTTTGCCATCTTTGTGACAGTAAGACAAATGGTTTTCTTTTACACAATTCTTTGAAAAGTTTGGTTTCTTTCTTATTTAAAAAAAGTCTTTCTGCTTTAACTAAGGCCTCTGACTTGGATTGAAGAAAGGGCTCCCGGGATGAAACGGGATAAGAAGATCAACTTCTGTTTCAAAAGTGGATGCTTAGAATGTCTCCCTGAGGCTCCACGTTCACCAGTTGGCCTTTTCATGCAAGATCTGATCATCTTTGCCAAAAAACTTTTGGGACAGATCCCCAAAGAGGAACTGATAGCTGAGAAAAGACGGATTCTGCTGTGTCTCAGTCTTGCCGAAGAGATTCAAATGTGCTGTGAATAGCCATCAAAATTCTATTCTTGAAAGTATGTGAAAGTACAGGGTTCACCATTTTAAACTCTTTCTTGTACTCCCTTTTTAAAATGTTCTTTTTCTTATGTGCCAGCTTCTCTATTCTATTAAGCAATATTTTTCTAACAAAGTCAGGATGAATTTAATCTGGCAGCACAGAAAATATATAGATTCTGTCTTGCCTTACTGCAAAGCAACTTTCTAATCAAAAGCTAGTAAACAAACTGCCTGCATTTCTTCTAGAGACGCAATAGCAAAAGAGTGTCATTTTTCCACAGTATTTATTGTTGAGGAAAAAAAGAATCTTTTTCAGCAGCAAAATATTTCTCTGAAACACTTTAAATTCTGTATTTAAGCCCATCTATATATTAGTTAAATGTTTAAACAGACATTAGAGTGCTGAACAGCTTTAAGTTTATTTTTAGCCTCTGTTCAGTCTAAGTTGCTCTTTACCTCCAGTTGCATGAAATATTGAAAATGGTGCCCTTTGTTATGTTCATCTCTAATGTTTAGCTCAGGACTACAACTTAGCTTTTACAAGATAAGAAACTATACTGAAAGAGTAATGAGTGAAGAAAAATTTCTGGATGGGAAGGTTTTTTTTAAAATTTGGCAATTATATCATACTGACCTGGTTTAAATATAATGTTGTGTGAATTATGAATTAGTCAATAAATATTATTTTAAAAAATTGTCTTAGTATAATACATGACCAATCCATTGTGCTGTACCTTGAGAATCCTAAATCCCTATAAATGTAGAATCATAATTACCCTTCCATTTTTTTCAGACTGCATTTATTTATGAAATGATGAGTTATGCTTCAGGCTTGACATTGTTGCAAAAAACTTAGATGTTACACTAAATATGCCTTATACTGAAGTAACAGCTGAGATTCCCACATGTTGACATAGCTACTTTTGTTCCTGCAACTAATTCTGCCTTTGAGACAGATCATATTTTTATAGGAAATAGAGGAATTAATAGTTATGTCACTATCTACAGCTTGCTATGCCTATAGCTACCAAACTGAATTCAGCAAAAACAAAAAAGCTGTAACTGAATTTCTATTAGGCACAATGTTTAATAATCCTTTTTTAATCTTTCCTTTTTCCCATTTTGATCAATAATTCATTTTTATTTTAAAAAATCAAGTATGCATATATTAAATGCCATTCTATGTTTAATCCATATCAATACAATCATTTTTTGAAGTGTGAATCTCTAAAGCTGATACCGTACTAGCAGTTTTCGCCTCATTAGATTCATCCTGTATCCTAGTCAATCTCTTGTTACAGACAAAGCTATGCTGCAATTTCCTCTTGCTATCTTGCCATCAGACTTGACCTGAAGAATTACTAAGTGAAGAATATGGGATCAGTAAATTTCTATATACACTGGATTTTTATGTCTGGCTGGAACTTGCATTGTCAGTAGTAATGACTTCCTGCTCCTCCTGCTCCTGCTCCTGCTCCTGCTCCTCCTCCTCCTCCTCCTCCTCCAGATAGACCTTATTAAAAGTCATAGTTTGTAATTACTTCAAATCACCTCAGGTTTAACTAGAGCAGGAGTAAGTAATTAAATAGCAAACTGGTCATTGCATTTTCATTGTCTGCATTATTAATACTCAGGATATAGAATTTTTGAATCAACAATGTATGTGTGGGTGTATGTGTACATACACTACTATGAGACACTTTATAAGGCAGAGGAAATTCCTAAAGAAAAAATATAGTTGTATTTAAAAAAAGCAGACTTGCCAAAAATCCCAGAGAATATTTGAAATATGCTAAATGGAAAAATATCAGTGATGGAGATTATAGAAGCCATAAAAAGGCAAAAAAAGATAAAACTCTGAGTCCAGATGGACTTCCCACATAATTTTATATAGCAGTACAAGATGTATTAAGTCAGACATTAAAAGAACTGTGTAATGAAATCTTGATGGAGACTAAAATACTAAAGTTGTGGACTGAAGCTAATATTACTTTAATACCTAAAGAAGGTACTGACCCTACACAAATAAAAAACTATAGACCAATATCGCTATTAAATGTGGATTATAAAATCTTTGCCTCAATAATGGCAGAAAGAATTAAGAAATTCTGAATGACTTCCCTGCCCTAAGAGAGTGCCGTTTGTTTACTTGGGAAAAAAAGCTTTGAACAAAACTATAAAACAGTAAATTTTTATTGGATATTTAATTTTTTGGATATTTTGGGGCCCTGAAAAAATCTTTATTATACAACATTATTATTTTATTTACTATGCTGGAGATATTTGCTTTCCCCCCCTCTATTTTCCTAATGAGATCTTTTTTTTTTAACTCGGAAAAAAAGCTTTTACCTACTGAGGACATCTTGTGGTGAAAAGTATTACTGCAATTGTACTTTCTCTTGGTGTTTGAAGATGGATTTGACCTTCAAATAATAATAATAATAATAATAATAATAATAATAATAATAATAATAATAATAATAATAATAATAATAAAGTTGGAAGGGACCTTGGAGGTCATCGAGTCCAACCCCCTGCTCAGGCAGGAATCCCTATACCATTTCGGACAAATGGCTATCCAGTCTCTTCTTAAAAACTTCCAATGTTGAAGCATTCACAGCTTCTGGAGGCAGGTTGTTCCACTGGTTAATTGTTCTAACTGTCAGGAAGATAAAGGCCTTGAAGCAGCTGTGGGCTGAATTTGTTTACTAGAAATTGTGGAGGTGGATATTTGTTCACTTCTAATAAATATAGCTTCTACAAAAAGACTAAAAGACTATTTTATCATGGAAATGGAGGAATCTTACCCAGAGCTTGATTATGAGCTTATATTGGAAAAATCCTGGAAGCTACAGAGTACATGAAATCTTGGAGAAAAATTAAAGATCATTTTGCAGAACCACAAACTGAATTTCAAATTTTAATGGATCAACCTATAGGCCAAGGAACAATAAAGGAGGAACAGACTATGCAACAGTGCACACAATTTAAAGAGATGGAGGAAGAAGCTACTGATCAATTGAGCTCTAGAAAAACGCTTGACCTAAAATCTCAAACCGAGACTCTAATTGATCATTCCACAAGTCAACTAATCACTACAGAAGAGAATATTTCACAAGCCTATGTACAAATTATGGAGAACTCTGATGATCAAAGAATGACTTCAACTGAAATACTTGCAGTCTTAAAAACAACAGGAACTGACTTTCAGATGCAATCTATTGAAAGCTGTGATAATCTGGATTATCAACTAGTAACTACAACATGGAACAAAATTGACTATACTATCCAGATGATACTAGAAGAAAGGGAAGAGAACTTAGACCAGATTGATGTGTCGATAAATATCCGTACTCAAATACTGAGATTTGATGATACAGATGCGGTATTATGGAAACCGGCCTGGCACAGAAAGAAAGCTAGAGTTAGATTTAAAAATGTGATTTAAAATTTTACTTAATGGGTTAAAAAGTCTTTAGAGATCTGAACTGATTTAACAATTAACTGAGTATGTGAAGTTAGCAAGATGATATTTTGTGTAATAATATGCTTGTTTTAGATATGATAATTATTTGGATGAGATTTAAATCTTACCTAATGGGCTGAAATGATTTTTTATAGAAATAGATTGACTGATAGATTATATATTTAAAATAGAGTAGAGTAATATTTTTATTTTATGTAGGATAACTATTTTGTAGTGAAGAAGAAATAAGAGAGATTTATGATAAGAGAAGAATTGATACTAATCAATGATTTATTAGACTAAGAGTTAGAATATATCTGGAAATATTAGAATGTTACTGTCGGAATATTATGTGTATTATAGAAAGGATATCCGAAGTGCTAATAATATGTTTATTCAAGATTAAATTGGATTATGATAATTGTAAATTAGTAAAGCTTAAAAACAGGATTTGGATTTACATAGATGTAATGTAGAAATGGATTAACCTAAATATGTTATACTATTTGAGGGAAATAGAGAGGGGACATTTAATGAATTAATTTGAGTTATATATATATATATATATATATGAGTGCTTTTTTGAACACCCTGTCAGCCTAAATATGGGAGAGAGAGAAGTCTTTATATATATATCACTTTGTCTTTGGATGATTGATTACCCCATCACCACGGTGTTTCTTGAGCACTCTGATATAAAAATTAAAAAACTAATAAAACTTGTTTATTAAAAAAAAAGAAATTCTTGACTGAATTTATACACACAGACCAAAATGGCTTCCTACCTAAAAGACAGATAAAAAATAACTTAAGAATGATTTTGGATGTTTTAGAGTATTATGAAAACCATTGAGGGAAACAGATGGCATTAATATTTCTTGATCCGCAAAAAGCATTTGATAATTTGAACTGGCAATTTATGTTCCAGCAGTTGGTGGAAATGGACTTTGGGAAAAACTTTATAAATGCAATTCAAACAATCTACCATAAACAAATGGCTAGAATAATCTTAAATGTATCCATACGGAAAATTTTCATATCAAAAAAGGTACAAGACAGGGATGTCCATTATCCCCATTGTTATTTATACTAACATTGGAAGTACTGACTAGAAAGATTAGACAAGATATAGAAATTAAAGGATTGGAGATAAAAGATCAAAAATATAAATTACAAGCCTTTGCGGATGATTTGGTTTTTATCTTGGAGGAGCCACTTGAAACAACTACTAAATTGTTGGAGAGAATAGAAAAGTTTGGAGAAGTGGCGGGTTTGAAAATAAATAAAGAAAAGACTAAAGTATTAACAAAGAACTTAACAGATAAACAGAAAAGTCAACTTACAAAAAAGACAAATCTGTAAATAGTTAAAAAAGTTAAATACTTAGGAATCTACCTAACAACAAGATGTGCAACCTTAAAAGAAGACAACTATGAAAGATTGTTAAAACAAATAAATCTGGACTTGGAAAAGCGGAAAAATCTTCAACTGTCATTACTAGGAAGAATAGCTACAGTGAAAATGAAGATTTTACCAAAAATACTCTTCTTACTTCAAACGATTCCTGTAAAACTGGGAAAGGACTTTTTTGATGACCTAAACACAACAACATTGAGATTCATTTTGCAAGGGAAAAAAGCACAAATTAAAGTGAAAATGCTACAAGAAGCTAAAGATAGTGGAGGATTTGGACTCCCGGACAGGAGACTATATTATCTTTGAAAATTTTTATTTTTAAAGTAGAAAAAATTATACATCTTTCAAACATAAAATGCATTAACATACATACATTTCAATTCTAACATTACACATTTTAGTTATATAACTATTAATGCATACTTATAATACCATCCCGACTCTCCCCCTACCCCATTATCCCCCTTCCCCTCCCTTCCCCCCCTTCCCCTCCCTCACTTCCCAGAACTGAACACAGGGTTACCAAGCCATTATAATATCCACAACTTATCTACCATACTCTCTCATTTTAAAATAAACAACATCCTAATTTCTTTAACCCCCTTCATAACATTCATTCTACTAACATAAGAAAAAATTTTATTCATAACCTACATGATAATTTTTTATCTCATATCTCTTCTGTATATAAACTATCCATCTTTCCCATATTTTAATATATCTTTCCTGATATTGATCTTTCAAATACGCGGAGATTTTTGCCA